TACAAAAAATCAATATTTACAGTATATAGGAATCACAATTAAAGTCGTATAAATCGTACGCTAACTTATTTCTCCAAATTTGTATCCATGATTGGTTGATTCCATCAATTTTATGTTCTATACTAAAAAATTCAATATACTTTATTACGAACATGTCGCAATAGCCCCTACAATTGAACAATAATGAGTTAGATCAGTACCGTATTTTAAAAAATTTAGAACCACTTACGATATTGTCTGCCTCGCCGTCGTTTTGTCCTGCACAATGACTAGTCTGTCCTGTACAGTTAATCCCACTTGGCTAGTTATCATAGGGACGAAAATAGTGATAGACTCCAGATTTTGCTCGAACTGACCCTGTGTCAAATATGAATGATTGGGGCCGTGCACATATATAGTAGACTCAGCTAACATAATTTCCAAACTATGCAGTGATGATTCACGATCACTGGAATGTACATATGTGTACAGCCCTTCCATGGCTTCCCTCGACACGCGGCCACATCCCTGTAGCCTACTCGAGCATATAGTCAAGCACCGCGTACTCCTTACCGGCATGTTGGAGCAACTGGTCCTTAATGTCAATGGTTTGTCCGAACTCCAAGTTCAGTATGACTTGGTCAGGACTGTCAAATGGCCTTAGATATCTTTGAACCCAATCACGCAACAAGTCCATGGCCAGATCGATGTGCTACATTAAGAAATACCAATAAAAAATGGAGTTATTTCATTACATAAACAAAAAATTATATATACATAAAAAATAACAATATGACTACTTCACTTACATCGTCAGCGAGCCAAGCCCCTGAAGTGATGATGTCGTGGAGCCCCTGAAGTGATGATGTCGTGGAACCATTTATGAGCATCGGAGATCTTTTTTTGACCGATCGTGTGGCTGGCCCTAAGAAAATAGACAAAAAATGTTAAAAAAGCACGTGCAATTAACATAGCGTACTTTACTAATATCATGAATACTAACCCGGGCAAAATTCTTTTCCACTTCGTCTCGAACACTTTCCATTTGACATGGTTCACCTCTTGAAATAGGTTTGGAAGTGTCCTATCGACGAACCTCCTCCTCTTCGTCTCGACCATAAAGGGAGAAACGACATACTGCAATGGGAATCTCTACCTCTTGTCGATTGCCTACATCATCCTGTCAGCAATATACTTCTTACCCTCTTCCATCCTCTACCCTGGGGATCGTCACCTCATCGGGGTTTGTCACCCCGTCCATCACCCTCTCCTTCCCAACCGCCTCTTCCATTTTCATCAAGCACACCGCTTTTGTCACCCTCTCTTTCCTTGCCCCCATCGGGCCCACCGTCTCCATCATCCTCTCCTTCCTTGCGGCCTTTCCCGTCCCCATAGAGCCCACCGCCTTTGTCATTTCCTCTACAGTCACCTCTTCCGTTCCTAACGGGGCCACCCGCCCTCTCTCAACAGATAACAAAAATGATTCTAACTGTGGATGACCCCCCTCTCTGTCAATTCATCGCCTACTCGTAATATTACTTCGGAGCGCTACTACCTTATCCTAGAGGGATACGACGTGGCCACATAGTAGTCTAACATCGTAGGATAAGTCATCGACCCTCTCCATCAACTGTCGCTCCACATCCGCTATGAATCCAGACAGGCGGGCATACGGATCATCGATCCCATGACCCTAACTGTGTACAGGAGATCCACGGAGGATGAGTCTCAACGGGGGAGGAGGTGATGCCCTCGACGGAGGTGATCGTCGATCAATTGGATCGTGCTTCTACCCAAATAACACTACAAATTATTAAATTAATTAATAATTGCTAACTCATAAAAATGTTAATCAATAAATTATACGAAATTCATGCACCTCATGTACCAACCCTCGACCATCATCCTCCACCGATGGCGTCAACTCAGTTATGACCTCAACCTGACATATTGACATTTCAACTAGTTAACGATTACGTAATGAGATTTTAAACTACGTACAATATAAATTACAAAGTACATAATACTCACATGAGGATCGTCGAGGAGAGCCGATAATTGTTTTCCAGATGGACACTCGTCAGCTCAAGATGCTTGCCAATGTTGCATTCGAAGGCATCGTGTCTCCAGTCGCTTCACACAGCGAGCACTTAGTACGAGGACAATTTCATATGCCCAAATCTGTAACACATAGAATTATTATATATAAATTCAGTAGTATAAATATTTTGATGTTGATTATGTAAACATTTGTCTGCACCGCCAGGGACAATCCGTAGGCATCATACTTGCGCATGGGCCTTTTAGGCTTTGAGTGCGATCTGATAAAGATGTGTACGGTGTCCTCGAAACATCTCCGACCCCATAAAGAGTTGTTGAAGCCATCGATGTCGTCGACGATCTCCAAGTAAAAAAGGACGATCAGAGTCTTCTTGTGGTGACACCGTACCACGGTCTTAAGGATATAGACCAAACTTAGCTTTAGTCTGTCTAACATTTGGTTACACCCCTCATCACTCCAATCAGCTGCGGTAGAAGTACTACCCGCTATCCCTGGGAATAAGTGCCATGCAACATGTTGCCTCTCTGAGCACTATCACGAGCTGCCTCATTGCCCGTAATCTTCAGTCCAGTGATCAGGGCAAACTCGAATATAGGGAAACTAGTGATCTTGCCCCCGAGGTTGAAGTGGAAGGCATCGTCACCGACTGGACTCAACAACTGACATAGCAGTGCGTCGATGATCTGACCCGAGTACTGCACCTTCCTCAACTGATACAGGGGCTGGAGGAAGGACTGGCATAAGATATCCGCGTGCTGATCATCCAGCAGCTCCAGTACTGTAGTAAAACTGTCAAAGCTACTATTCCATGTAGCTTTCCTCGACATCTGCCTCAAGCCTGTGTATAGATGATAATCCATCCTGCAAAAATTCAAATGTTAGAACATTGTACAATAGATAATAGAATAAAACATAGTAATGAAATTTTAATCGAATCAAATTGTTAACATATAGATTCATCCAACACCAACGTTAATAAATGATTTAGAAAAAGGAAAAAATAAATAATTAAATAAATTCAAAAGAAACATGTTAAAATTAACAAATATAAATTAAATTAAACAAAATAATTTCAAGAAAATTAAAACTATAAAAATAAAGAAAAAAATATTAAAATGTATTTTAAATTGGAAATAGGTAAATTATATGATACGGGAGTGTTTGAGCCACATTATTTTGGTAATAATGCATTTTTGAATAGTGTATTGATGGGAAATGTGTGGTTAAAAAATAAGGAAAAGTTTTTGATTTGCGCGTAATATTATTTTATTGAAAAATGTGTGTGTGTGTGTGTGTGTGTGTGTGTGTGTGTGTGTGTGTGTGTGTATATATATATATATATATATATATATATATATATATATATATATATATATTTAAAATTAAAATCAACAAAAGAAAATTATAAATAAATAATACAGATTTCAATTAAAATTGAAAAATTAAATATTTATTTAAAAAATTTGTAATTCAGATGAATTTTATGCATAAAATATGAAAAGAAAAAAGAATTAAATAAAAAAATTTATTTTATTTATTAATTTTCAATTTAAAAAAATAATTAATATTTCTTAATTAATAAAATGAAAAGGAAAAAAATCGGTCTAGAAATAGTAGGCTGGGCCGACTATTTATAGCGACTGTTAAACAGTCTTGGGTCGACTATTTAGAGATGCCTTCACAATCATCTCTTTCAATTCACCGGAAATGGCCTTGAAAATTGCCATTTTCGATGATTGAGCTCTCAAATGTGGTCTTAAACCCCAAATCATCTTCCACAATCTAATCTAATCGAGCATGTCTACCTATAAATGTAAATAAATGTCCATTTTCGAATACAAATTTAAATTCACATCTCATGAACAAATCCATTTAATATTCATTACAAAAGCTAACCTAAATGCCGGTTGGTGTGTGGTGTCGGCGGTGACTAGGTTGTTGTGTGGTGTCGACGTCGGTTGGTGTCGATTTTTGTGCCTTCGACTGTGAGAGATCGACGGTGAGAGACTGTGAGAGTCCATTTCTTGTGTTTGGGGGTGTTTTCGAGTTTTTGTTTCCAAACCTTTTTTTTTTTTTTTTAATTGTATTACTTGGTCAAAGGCCAATGTGAAAAAGTGGCTTGGGCTACCGACTATTTGCCCTTATTTCCTCATTCTTTCCACCCACCATCTTAATTGATAAAAAAGATCATATTATTGATGTATTTTTCATTTAGTAATTAGTTAGTTTTCTCTCCATCTGCCTTCTCGAGCATTCAAAATTTTACACATATACAAAAATATCACTTTAATGTATTTTTTTTCTATCAAGTAGTTAGTTAGAAATATATCCATTCATAATCTTTCATAAAATAATATCTCGAAAATTTTATTATTTTTCAATCATACATTCTTCAAAAAACACTATTCTAAACATTAAAATTTGGAAAAAATGGGGACCAAATATTAAAATTCTAAAAACTTTTTATTATTTTTCAATCACATATTCTTCGAGTTTTCCGTTGATAAAAAAAATAACGTTAGTGTTTTATTTATCTATTGATTAGTTAGAATTCTATGCATCATCATCCTTCTCGCTTTTTTACAATTTTCAATTTGGATTTCGGTCCAAGACTGCCAGGTTCTATCAAAGTCTATATTTTCCAAGGTTTTTAAGTTGATTTTGTCTAATACTTTGTGTTGACTCCAAAATTCCAGTTAGGATGGAAATTGCTTTAGCGTTTTCCTTGGAAACCCGCAACTTAAATTTCATTTAATTACTCTTAGCGTCATCGCTTACCATTTAATAAGCATTTAACTTAAAGACTCAAAGCTAATGGACAATATTAAGAAATCGTATTTTCTGGTAAGATATGCTGGAATTAAACTTTTAGGCTGCAAATGTAAATCAGAGACTTTGATTCGAGACCGCGACAGAATTAAAGAAAAGTTTAGTAAAATGCAAAAGCTCAAATTTGGCGGGCTGAAGGCACATTTTTCAAAATTTAGAATATTCAAGATTGAATGACGTTCAGGGAGAAGAAAAACACAGTATAAATAGAAGAACACAAGAGGACTATCATGCAAGTTTCCTCTGCTTTAGTAATCAGAAAAGAAAATGAGTTCCTTTTCAAATTTCGTAGTTCCTCTTGTTTCCTTAAGTTTGTTCACCATTTTCCTTTTCAAATGGTTCTCTAATCCGGGTTCAAAAGCGAGGAAAAGGTTACCGCCATCTCCACCAAAGCTTCCCGTGATTGGTAATCTTCACCAACTCGGCTTATACCCTCATATCGCGCTGCAAGCGCTATCAAAACGCTATGGTCCCCTTATGAGGCTTCATCTTGGACGAGTGCCAGCAGTTGTTGTCTCGTCTGCTGATGTAGCTCGTGAGGTCATGAAAACTCAGGACCTCATTTTCTCAAACAGGCCAAAAGTGAGCATCCCTGATAAAATTGTTTATGGCTCTAAGGACATTGCTTTTGCGCCTTACGGTGAGCACTGGAGGCAGGTCAGAAGTATTTGTGTGCTGCATCTTTTGAGTAACAAGAGAGTTCAATCTTTTCGTCATATAAGAGAAGAAGAAACGGATCTTTTGATCGATAAAATAAGACAGTCATCTTCTTCTTCAATGTCCGTGACAAACATGAGCGATTTATTGGTGTCAGTTACTAATGATACGATTTGTAGAGTGGCCCTGGGGAGGAAATATAGTGATGGTGAAGCAGAAGGAAGCAACAAATTTGAGTTAATGTTGAAGGAAATTATGGAGCTAGCAGGCACTTTCAATGCAGGAGATTTCATTCCATGGCTTAAGTGGACGAATAAAGTTAATGGTTTGGATGCCAGAGTCGATCGAGTGGCTAAAGCGTTTGATGAATTTTTATCAGGTGTAGTTGAAGATCATAGAAATAGAAAGCAAGGAAAGACGGATAGTGATGATAGCAGCAATGAAGCAGATCTTGTGGACTTATTGCTCGAAATTCAAAGGGAAAACAAGTCCAGTTTTTATCTTGATGATGAGTCCATCAAGGGTGTTATTTTTGTAAGAATATCTCGATCTCTTTCTCTTTATATTTCCACATTCATGCTTTCATTGAAGATTAAATTTAAAAAACAATTTTAAGGTTATATAGGAGATTGTTCAACGAAGGAAAAATCATTCATTTAATTGAACATATTACAAGCTATTTTATAATGTTATTAGAATTAATTTCATTCAACTAATTAACCCTTCCTTGTTTTCGACAGGATATGTTTGGTGCAGGGACTGATACAACATATACTGCTTTGGAGTGGACAGTGGCCGAGGTTCTAAAGCACCCAGAAATAATGAAGAAACTACAGAATGAGGTGACACAAGTAGTCGGAAGCAAATTAAAGGTAACAGAAGAGGATTTAGAAAAAATGCCTTATTTAAAGGCAGTGATGAAAGAGAGCCTTAGACTACACCCTCCAATTCCAATGTTGGTTCCACGAGAATCGACCCAAGACAGTAAAGTAATGGGGTACCACATCGCTGCTAGAACTCAAGTCATCATCAACGCTTGGGCAATCGCAAGAGACCCCAAGCAGTGGGAAAATCCTGAAGAATTTAATCCACAGAGGTTCTTTAAGAACACGGCAGTCGACTTTAGAGGGTTTAATTTTGAGTACATTCCATTTGGTGCTGGTCGAAGAGGCTGCCCTGGTATTACATTTGCCATGGCTGTTAATGAGTTGGCATTAGCAAAATTGATGCTTAACTTTGATTTTTCATTGCCAATTGGAGCAAAAGATTGGGACATGACTGAAGCTGTTGGAAGCACTGCCCATAAAAAGAATCCTCTACTTGTCGTCGCCACTCCTCATTCTTGCTAGTTTGAGTTGAGACTATCGCCACTCATGTTTCTCTCTAAATTTTGTGTCATAGTCAGTGTAATAAAAAGTTTAATGTATTCCTATCATATTTGTAATACAAGTTAAAATTTTTCATTAATAAAACACACACACACACACACACACATATATATATATATATATATATAGACACACACACACGAGAGATAAAAATATCCCATTTTACTTAATAATTTCGATTAACATTTGTGAAGGGAGAATTTGCTTGTGCTAATAGCAAATTTTGCTGGTGGGTGTTTTCTATAACACCAGAAAAAAGAAATAGAAGTTGGAAAATGCAGAAATCCTAGATACGGCTCACATAATGACATTTTTCTTAAGATGTTATTTGTCCCAACCAATTCTGCGATGCACTTGGGATCATCGAAAAGATCATAATAAATTTTATAAATATTATACAAGAAAAAAAAAACCTCTAAAGATCAAATATTTAATAAAAATAAATAAACTATAGAATAATATGCACAACATTAGGTAATGTATCATATAGAGTGTTATTTCGGTTAAGGACTTTTTCTTCCTACTTGACTATTTAGCGCGTGCGCGCGAGCACACTATATATATATTGCAAATGATAATTTTTCTAACCATTACACAAAAATGTAGAATGTAAAATATAAAATTTTAAAATATGGTATGTAAAGTGTAATTACATGCTATATATTTTAAATTTTCAAATTAAAAATAGGAAAAATAAGGAAAAAGGAAAGGAAAAATTTAGTTTGATGTACATTTATATAGTATAAAACACAATGGTAAAAAGGGAAAATAAATACATAGACACACACATATATGTATGTATGCATGCATGTAGGTAGGTATGTATGTATATGTATATATATTTGGGTTATAGGGGAATCATTTACGGACAACAAATGTTACGGAGGTTTCTTTTCTTCTTGAATATTCATATCACCAATGGTTCCAAGACAGAGAATATTAATTAAGGATTCCTTGTGTCAATCTCGATTATCGATCATATCTTTCACTCAACTATTAAGTTAATGTAAGTCGAAAACTTCTTTTCGACTTATGAGTGCACATTAGCCAAGGATTTCATTATCGACTTAATTAAATGAAACACAGATCATAACCTCCTACTATCTAAGAGTGACAAATCCTTTATTGGTCAATGACAACCTTCATATGATTCTTGACGTACTCGAACGATGTCGTATTAGCGGCCCTTTATAGAACAACATCCAATACCACCAAAGTATAGCTGTTCTCATATAAGATACCATGACGACCTCAAGTCAAAGGACAAATTCCACTACCGAATGTTAGAGATTAACCACTACACTCAGATAGTTATCCATGTAGAATCTCTCGGTAGATCTCCAATGTTTTGTTCCATAACAAAACATCCACGTGTTCATTTAAGTGTTACCACACTTTAACTTATGAGATCAGCTACTTATTTCACAAGTAAGAAGTGCCACACGTGATGGTCTATCCATAATAACGACATCCGTATCTCGTTATTACTTACGATTATGGACGATTTAAGATTCAATCATATATAATTTGTATCTCACAATCACAACTCCTTGTGATTAACAAATTATGAAGATTTGAATCTACTGACTCTATTATTTATTTAATTGTCTATTAATTAAATAATAGATCTGTCATTTAATTGCATTAATTATATATCAAAAGTATTTATGTCCGAGGTTGATTGGATCTAAAGCATAACACTTACAAGTTCGACATGTACTCAAGACTTATATCCCTCTTGTATCATGCCACTGCATGCATATATACTCCTGTAAATTACAAGTACATGTTTAGTACGTAGTACTTTGATAGGATGGTTAACTTTTTTTGTAATATTTTTTTCATAGTGTTCAATCTTTCCTACTAAATGTGCTATCAATAAAAAATAAGTAATTTTATTAAGACACTTTTATTGTTTATTTACTTCTGCAAAATGCCCCAGAAACTGCTGAAAGTTCATCAGCTTACTAGTGAATCTGATGCAAGTGGTTCTGAATCAAGTGAGACCGAGATGGCAGATAGCATGTTGATGGCATTGAGATAACATTAGATGGTGGATCGGGGCAAAGATGGAGAGTGATTGCAATACTTTCCTCAGTTGGGGCAATTTTGACACGTTTTTAGTAATTTGATCATAATTTTGGCTACAGTTATCAGAATTGCAATTATGACCACAATTAGGAAAGCTTTTTTCAGCGCACACATTGTGGTCACCAGCTCTACTCGATGGACGTCAATTTCAAAATCCTATGTTTTCCCCTTCGAATCTCAATTTTTAGTTATTTTTTTTCCATTTATGATAATATTTTGTTTGCCTTTGTGTAGTTGATTACGAATCCGATTTGAGCCAAATATTTGGCAAGTTACTTCTTATATTCCATATTTTATTTTGGTGTGATTTTTGGGATTTTGCTATTTTTGGTAAAATTTCCATAATTTCACATTATCTCAGCTGTTTAATCCTGCTTGAGGATTAGTTTTCGCATTCTGGAGTTTCAATAATATTGAGTGAATTTCAGAGAAGTCTCTCTGTGTTTTGGATGTTATTCTTTCGTTTACTTCTATGTGAATCATCTGTTACAATGAACTTGTAAGATAATTGCTATTCTACCCGGCATTAGAATCCACTTTACTGATTAAAACTTACACAGCAGATACCATTGATTCTTTCAGTTTCCATTTCTGTTTAAATAGTATTATAGATTGATCCAAGAATTGGATAAAATGTTTGTTTGTTGTTGATTATATGATTTTGATTGATTGTAAAAGTTTCTACACTTTAATTCTCTCATTCAGGATGAACGTGGAGATTTTGAAGTAGGGGGACAAAGTCAAACTTGTAAAAATGAGAAAATTTTCATCATTAAGAATATACTCCATGTAATTTACATCAAAAAATTTACGTGGATATGATTTTTTCGGAGGTAAAATTTTGAAATTTTTTTATACCATATTCCATGTAAAATTTCCTAATAAGATGATGAAAATTATATTGAAAAGTTGTATCACAAAAATAATAATACTTGAAAATTTTTAAAGAAAATAAGAGTTATATGCCTTTTTTTAAAACATACGTTTGACACCTTTTTAACTATGTTTGATATCTATTTGGACCATTCGATATGCCTGTGATATGGTTCTCGAAATTAGTTTCAAGATGACACAGCGATTTGTGGATTCGACTAGCATACGATCGTCGGATAATTTTTAAAGCTAATGTGTTATTGGAATTCTCAAAATACTAGTTTGAAATAGTTTACTTTGTCAAGCCATAATAGTTGCTATAGTTGGCCATTTCGTGAATCATTAACAACATAGAAAATTAGGCCGTGAGTACTTCGAAATGATTAAGAATGAAATATTTTGATTTCGTTTGACATCTCATAATGACTTAAAAAATTGAGACAAGAACATAGAAATTTAGAGAGGGGAAAAAATAAAAATAGCACGTGACCCCATGCCCGACCTGTGTCCGCGGCTGGCCTTATTGCAGTTGAACAATATCATATTTTATCCTTTTGAACTATCGTAAACAATGATGTAAGTTTACAATGGTCATAATTCTGATACTTTTGTCAAGTTTCATAAACAGCAATGACAAGTTACTAAACCATAAAACAGATGAGAGTTTGAACTTCTTTTCCTTCATTAAAAGTGTCTAATACATATTACATGCTATAAAGTCTCATGTTTAAAGAATACTCACACTTCCACTTCAGCTCAAAATTACATGGGATTTGCACAAATTGTCTCTAACCTATGGGATTTCTGCGTAAATGATCCAAACCTTCAAGTCTTGGTACAAACATACCTTACCTTCCACTTAAATGGAAGAATTGTTCCTTTTGAATGGTTTCATCCAATTGATGATCATTAGAAAATGCCAAAATTTTGATGAAAAAACTAAAGTTTTAGTTAAATAAGTATAAAATAAGCTATTCTAAATAAGTAGAACATAAAAATAGAAAATCTAACAAAAGAAAGGACAACTCATCTTATCAATCAATCTTCCATAGAGCATCTACAATGCAATCATTGATAGCTTAAAAAATTGTGACATTTAAGAAAAATAGAATATGTTGAGAAAAATTCGTCCCCATTGTATGTATGTAAGACTCTGTCAAGATTGATGTTGAAAAGAAAATATATTTTCTAGAGCCCTGCCTAGATTTAAAAGCTTCATCACATATGCTATCTTAGTAAATTTTGTATTTAGATATAAAAAATAAAATAAAATAAAATACATCTATATAGCATTTTATAGAGTGTATTATAAATTAATTTTGAACTTTAGTGTCTAATCATTAGACACACGATGTCATGTAGATTTAAAGTCTTTCATTATCGATTTTTTGAGGAGAATTGTAGCCAGTTCCCAAACCTTTCTTTTTTGCATACTTTACCCAAATATTTCATTTGTATCACAAGTAGTCTTCAAACCTCTCATTTTGCTGTAGCACAAGAACAACTAGTTCCGTCCATTTGATCATTAGTTTACCAAAAAAAATAATTTTGACATATTATTAACTATTTTAATAAGGGTAAAATGGTAACATTTCATTTTAGACATAAAATAAGTTAAAAATTAAATTTAAAAAATGATAAAGAGAAAAAAGAAATGGAAAATCTATCGTTCTTTTGCTGTTGGAAGTCAAAAACCAAAACAAACCGACAATAAAAGTGTCACTAGGGTTGGGTGTGGTCCAGTTCAGTTTGGTTCTAAAGTTAATTGAACCAAACTCGAAATTTTTCGAGTATAGTAGAATCGTTGGGTTTAAATTTAATTATGGAACCGTTCGGTTTTGATTCTCGGGTTTCATACTATAATTAATTTTTAAAATATTTATAAAGCTAAATTAATTCAACTAATGACACATTCAATCTTAACTCTTATAAAATAACATAGTCCAATATTATTTATCTTTTGTGTCTCTTTGTTAAATTTTTCATAGATTTGATTGTTAAAATCACAAGAAGAGAAATATAGTGAGCTCACAATAATTAAGAGAGATACTGTCGAGCTTCAATTTGATTTTTTTAAAATGACAGAAACGACATTACGATAGAATAACATATTTG